GGTTTTCTTGGCAGAGACACTGGAATGGCTTGCCATTTCCTTCTCTAGCTCATTTTACAATTGAGGAGACTGAGGCAAATAGGGTTCAGTGACTTGCCCAGAGTCACACAGTTAGTACGCCTCTGAAGCTGGATTTGAACTCAGGAAGACACTCCAGGGCTCTATGCACTATGGCTCCCCCTAGCGTGCTTTTTGTATACTGCTCTCTTGCCTCCCCCATAGAATAGAATTTCCTTGAGGGCCAGGTCTGTTTCACTTTTAGTTCGTAGTCTCTGCACCTAGAACAATGCCTGGCACTGAGTAGGTGCTTAATAAGGGCTTGTTCATGGGTTGGCTGACAAATATGATTCACTACCCTCCCCTCATCTAACAGACGAGGAAACTGAGCCCCAGACAGATTGTCTTGTCCCAGGCTAAGTGGTGAAGTCAGGATTCAAACTCAGGTTCTCTGATTCCCACCCTAGTGCGCTCTGCCTGTCTCTATTCCTTTCCTTCAGGAAGGCTGGGGTCAGAGCTTCCTTCCCACAAATCACACTGCTCTCCCCTACTCCACCCCTCCCCACAGCCTCATATACACACCCCCCCATTCCCCACTCCAGCTTGAAGCAGTCCCGTTAATCACGATCCCTGCAGTGCTTAAAGTGGCCTTGCCCCCTCCCCCAGCTACATCGCCCACCCACCCCCCCAGTCCGCCCCAGTATCCCCGATACCCTCCCTCCAGTAAACCCTGCCATGGAGCCCTGATGGTAGAGATGGCCCCACCTAATTGGGAGGCGAGCTCCCAAAGCTCCACTCGGTTATCACAGAGGGTGCAGATCTCCCCAGCTCAGGCACCTCGGCCACAGGCCCTGAGGGCCAGCTCAGAGACGGAGGGAATTAATTACATTTTCTCCGTCTCCTTCTTTTAAAGTATGGGAGAGTGATGGAACGACCGGAGAAGGGAGGGGGGAGGAAAAAGAAGGGGGGATGAGGAGATGGAAATGGGATCTGGAGGTGGGGGCTGGGGGTGGGAGCCAGTGCAGCGTGGTGAAAGGAGTATCAGAGTTGGGGTCCAAAGTTGTGGGTTTGAGTCTCCCCTTCTGCTGCTTCCTAGTTCTATGACCTTATTTCCCCTTCTCTGGGCCTCAGTTTCCCCTACTGTAAAATGAAGAGATTAGCCTAGGAGATCTCTAACGTCCCTTGCAACTCTAAAAAGCAGTGATTCTGGGAGAGAAAGGAGGAAAGGTTAGATTTAGCTCTGAAAGCACCTTCTCTGTTATTACAGACCCATGACACACTCGGCCCCTTCCTTCCCCACCCCCAGTCCCCATTCCCCACTAACAAACAAGTTTCTCACTGGCGGAAACGAGGGCACTCATTGATTTACTCTGACGATGAAGCTGGGACTGATTTGGAGCAGAGGAGGTTGGGGTTGGGGGGGGGCAATGAATGAGCGAAGGAGGGGAAGGGATGGCTGTCAATCATTATGATGGGCAGCCTGGAGATTTGCCTTCAGATAAAATCTTACAGATGTGGAAAGGATATTGATTTTGAGTTAGCATCGGTAATGTACCAAGAAGTAATACATTAGACAAAAGCAAGGTCACCAAAAAAAAAAAAAGGAAGAAGGGGAGGGAGGAAGAGAACCGCCCTGCTAGAGGACTTTGCATTCTTAAGAGGGGGGGATTATCACATCAGACCTTGACTTCCTTAAGTTCAAAAGTTTGCTCACTGCATTCTTAGACCCCAGACCTAGGAGAGACCTTTTCCTGACTTTAGAGAAAAGAAGATACTGAGTAGGTACTGGCTTCCTGGGGCTGGAGGAGAGGGGCAAAGCCAAGAATGGCGGGCATGGCTGCTTTCCTCCTCTCTGACCCACCTCTCTCTGGTATTTGAGATTCAGGTTGGATCAACCAGTCAGGTTACTCTTCCTTGCCTGTTTCCTATCACAAAGGTCAGGATATAGCTGGAAGAGGTGTGTGATTTTCACACAGATGACCTTAGAACAGAAGAATGGGACATAGAATGATGGAGTTGGGAAGAGCCTGAGAACACAGAATGTCAGAGCAGGGAGGGGCCTTAGAACCTAGAACCCAAAGCTGGGAGGATCCTTAAGCCCATAGAATCATAGACTACCAGAGTGGAAAGGTACCCAGAGGTCATCTGCCCAACCTGAATAGGAATCCTTTCTATAATCTCTACCCCTAAAGTAGTTACCTAGACTCTCCTTGAAGACACTTAGTAAAGGGGAAACCACTTCGTCCCAGGGTAGCTCATTCTGAAACTTTTGGGCAGCTCTAATCATGAGGAAGTTGATCCTAACATAGAGCCTAACTCCCCCTTCCTGCAAATTCTACCTCTTCCTTGTAGTTCTTCCTTCTGGGGCTAAGCAGAGTAAGTCTAATCCCTCTGCTAATTTGAGTTAACTTCCAACATTTATTAAGTGCCTACTGTGTGCCAGGTGCCATGCTATGTGCTGGAGATAAAAAGATTTTTTAAATAACACAGTTTTTGCCTTCAAGGAGCTTCCATTCCCCCAGATGGACATAACACACACACCTAAGAATAGTACAAGTTAACCACAGCCCCATTAGTGAGTATTCTTCAGGTCCAGTCATCCAACCAGCGCAGAATGAAGACATGAAGAGTATCTGGTTCACATCTCTCCCTCACTCCAGAAAGAATGCTGGAGACTACCAGTCACTTTGCTGAAATTCAGGCATCACATCTATGGCATTATACCATTCTACCAGTCCAGAAGATGTCAAAAAGGGAAATGAAATTATTTTGGGATGATCTGTTCTCCATGAAGCTATGCTAATTCTTAGCGATCACTGTTCCTCTTTCTAAATACTAACAAACTATCCTTTCAGTAATGAGTTCTAGAATTTTGTCAGGAATTGGATTTAAGCTCAATTAAAGCCAGAAGGGACCTTTGAACATAGACTAAATGTCAGAATTATAAGAGAGGATAGAACATAGAATGTTAGAATATTGATTTTCAGAGCTGGGAGATAACTTTAGAAATCACTGATGAATGAATAAAAAAATACATTTACTAAGTGCTTACTTAAGACAAGGGCTATGCTACGATCTGGGTATGTAAATAGAAAAAGGCAAACAGTCCCTGACTTCAAGGAGCTCATACCCTAATTGGAGGAAACAACTCAGAGTAGAATGGATGGATGAAGAGGTCTGGAAGCCGTAAGGTTTCTATAGCAGGATGAAGGGCAAGGCTCAGGGGTTTTTTTTTTATTGTAGCCATAGATCAGATGACAGTGCCCAGGGATCAGGAGGGCACAGAGACAGAGCAGATGGTAAGACCTACAGGGCCTCAGAATGTAACAGCAGGGTGGTAGAGAGAGGATATTGATTTTGAGTTAACATTGTTAATGTACCGAGAAGTAATACATTTAACAAAAGCAAGGTCACTGAAGGGGAGAAAAAAGGAGAAAATTAAAAGAGGTTAAATGGTCATCCATCTCACCAGAAGGAACAGAATTGTTGACTCCTACTTCATTCAAATGGTTTGAGTAGACCAACCTCTTCATTTTACAGATGGGGAAACTGAGGCCCACAGAAGTTGAATTATTTGACATTTTAAAGCCCTATGTAAATGCCAGGTATGATCATGCTGACTGTCCAGGATCACATAGCTTATGAGAAATCTCTTACCTATGACATGGGCTGTTAACTCCAGTAAGCCCTCAGTAGAGTTTCCTGTTTGATAGTTCTACATATCCTGTACTCATTCTTACCTCCTCACTTTTGTCTACGTTATTTCACATTTACACAATGCATTAAAATTCACAAAGCATTTTCCTCACAATATCCCTGTGAAATAGGCACTGTAGCTATTATTCCCCTCGTTTTCATAGAGTTAGGTTCTGTTAGGCTCAGAGACATTAAGTAACTTGCCTGGAGTCACATGGCTAGGAAGCATCAGAGATGAGATTCAGACTTCCTGACTCCCAGTCTAGAACTCTATCCATCACTCCACACTGCCCCCCCCGTTCCTTTTAACCCCATCAACTATCCCATAGAGATATGCCTGATTATGATGAGTCAACCAGAGAGAATAAGGACAATCCCCCTGTGCCTTGGCCCTACCGCTCAATTCAAAAAAGGCAACTTGGTTTGAGTGGATAGAATGTTAGGCTTGCAATTGGGAAGACCTCAAAAACTCCCATGTGAGCAAGTCACCTTCTGTTACCATGAGCACCATCACTATCACCACCACAGTTGTTGTCAGCTGGCCTCCACCGTTGCCGTGAGCGCCAGAGCCACCGTCACCATCACCCTCACCATCATTACTGTCACCATCACGGTCTCTAAGATCAGTAACATCATCCCCACCACCATCACCATTGCTGTCTCCACCACTACCACAATCACTTTCCCAATCACCACGGTCACTATGGCCATCAGCAGCATAAAAAATGATTACTACTAATAACATAAAAATAAGTGTCAATATGGCATAGGACGTAGAACTTGGATTCGGGAAGACTGGGATCCACATGTAACTTTTGATACTTAGGAACTTTGGTGACTCTGGTTGAATCACTAAGCCACAATTTTCTCATCTGTAAAATGAGAATAATACCTACAATACCTCCCTGGTGCCATTGTTAGGAAACAAAAATTAGCCCACACATATAAATCACTTAGAAAACCTTGATGAGCTATATAAATATCAGTTCTCTTATTCCCATCATCACCACCAGCCAGGACCTCAAGACCCCTACCACAGTCACCATCATTCTTAGGATAAGTGAAAAGGAGAGAGGGGAAGGCATTCCAAGAAGGAGGGATAGAAGTAGAAAATGACAGAAGACATCTATGCATATCTCAGAGGCCATTTGAGTTCTCATGCCCTGACTGGTGACTTCTGCCAAATGGGGTATTTGGAAGCATCACACCAGATCTCTGGGACCTGTAGCTGATTCCCTGTGATATTAGTAAGTTTCATGGGCCCCCTTCATGTCTCCACTCATTCTCAAGCTTTCTTTCCCTTTCAGGTAATGAGTATCCTGAGCAACCCAAGTGGGGTGCCCCCCCAGCCGCAGGCTGACTTCTCCATCTCCCCACTGCATGGGGGTCTGGACACCGCCAACTCCATCTCAGCCAGCTGCAGCCAGCGCAGTGATTCTATCAAGTCCGTGGACAGCCTCCCCACTTCGCAGTCCTACTGCCCCCCCACCTACAGCACCACTGGCTACAGTGTGGACCCTGTGGCTGGCTATCAGTATGGCCAGTATGGACAGAGTGAGTACTTCTCTTTCCCCTCTCTGCCTACAGGATCCCTGACTTGGTGTGGGAGAAGTGGGGTACAACCATGCCCTGGCATTCTACCCCCCCATCTCCCTAAACCTAGGACCCCTTTAAAGGGCCAATTGCTACTATTATTCATTCACTCATCCAAACATTCATTCATTCACTCAATCATTCATTTGTTTAGTCAACCATTCACTCATTTAAAAAATATTTATTAAGTATTTACTCTGTGTAAGGCCCCATGCTGGGCAGAATGAGGGATAGAACAATACATGGTCTTTGCCCTCCAGAACACATCTTAGAGGATTTTTATAAATTTCACTCTGGTCTCCCCACACTATACTAGAGACCTTGTCTTCACCATCTGTCTTCACAGTCCAGCCATCTGACCCCATTCCCCTCATTTTTCTCTCAGTCCTCTGGGTTTTTTGAGTTTCTGTGGCTGAATCTTCTCTGATCTTGAGGTATACTCCACTGCACCCTACCCATCAAACCCATTTCAGGAACGACTAGGAGATGGGAGAGGCCCAGAGTAGAATGGGGATAGGGTCTGCTGTGAGTAATTTGGACTTGGAATCAATGAATCCTAGCTGTGTGACCTTGGCCAAGTCCCTTCCCTCCTTTAGGTCTCAACTGAAAAGCATTGTGGCATGATGGGAAGAGCATTGGACTTGAAATGCTAGGAGCTGGGCTTGAGTCCCAGCTCTTTATCAGTTGGGCAGCCTTGGGTAAAGAATAGTAGGGTGGAAGACCAGGATTTAAGACCTGGCTTGTTGACTTACCACATGACTTTGGGCAGCAAATGCTTTCCCTACTCAGGCCTTAGTTTTCTCATCCGGTAAAACTGATGTGGTCTGATCTGAACCATTCACTTTACCTCCGAGCCCCAGTTTCTGGAAAGTGGGAACTTTCTGTAAAACAGGAAGAAAAAAAAATCAATTTCCTGGGTTTTATTGGAAAGGAAAGTACTCTGTAAACTCGAGAGCATTATAGCAATGGGAATGATTATCCTCTCCCCGGAGCCCCGGCCCCCTCCCCAACCCTTCCCAGCCCAGGCAGCTTCACCTGCTGGTGTCAAACTAATCAGAAGGACGTGTGGCAACCCAGGGAGACCCGCTGGGGTTAAAGGTGTATCCTTCCCCTGTGCCCCCTCCTTAACTTGTCCTCAATGACCCGGGACTGCACCTCTCCCCCCCACCCCACCCCTCCAATCGTACACACACCCCACAACGCTCTTTTAATGTCCTTAATTTCTCTAGCTAAATGGGAACCGGCTGCCGGGGGGATCAATAGCAGCTTTCGACCCCGGTTTTCCTGGGGGTGGGGGTGGGGTATGCCTGTGCTCCTGTGTTTTTTCCGAGGGAGCTGGGGCGGCGACCCTCTGACCTTCCCCTTGCTCCCGGTCCGGGGGGGTGGGGTGGAGTGTGGAGCTGGACACATGTTAATGATAAAGATCCGAAACCAATTCCAAGAGCGAGGACTGGCCCCGACGCCCCCGGCCCAGGTTAGTCACACCCCGTGTGTGACCGCAGACCGAGGCACAAAAAATAAAGCCCGGGTAGGAAATAAAATTAGCTCCCCTCCCCCCTTATTGGAGTGAGAGAGAGAGGAAGAAAGGATCCAGGGAGATCAAAAGGGAAAAGGATGCGGGCTGGGGAGAATGGGGAGCAGGGGAGAAAGGAGTGTTTGTTTGGTTTAGAGAAACCGCCTAGGGAAATGTGGGCCAGGGGAGCCCCACTCACCCCCCTCAGTTCGGCCCTATTGTATTCATCCCATCTCTTGACAGTCTTTCCCACTCCGGGTTTGTGGCCAGGAATGAGGTGGTGGGGGTGCTTTCTACCTAATCCCTTTAAGCTCTAAGTGCCCCCCCATTCCTGGGCCTCGAACTATGGAATACCAGGGCTGGACTGGCCCCTAGAACAGATAATATCAGAGTTATATGGCGCCTTATAACCCAGAGCGACGGAGCTGGGAGGGACCTTAGAATGCGAGGGGGCGGGGAGGGGACTTAGAACTCAGGATGTCAGAGTTCTGAGAGCTCTTAGAACGCATGGGATCTTGGAACGCAGAACGTCTGAGCTGGGAAGGACGTTAGGGCAGGACTGTCAGAACAGGGAGAAACCTTGGAACACAGAAAGTCAGAACTGTGAGAGGCCTTGTGGTCTAAAGAATGTGGAATGGTAAAGCTGAAAGTTAGCTGAGAACGGGGAACTTCAGAGCTGGGAGGCAAGTTAAAGACTGTTGCAGTCCAAGCCATGCATTTTACAGATGGCAAGACTGAGACTCCCAGAGAAGGGACTTGCCCAAAGTCACACCACTGCTAAGTGGTGGAACTAAATCTACCCCACCCCCCTTTAGCCTCGAGGTCAGCATTTTTTCTTTTTTTTTTTTAATTAAAAAAATTATCTATTTTTTGACAGATACTTAACAAACATCTGAAGTAACTTCCTTAGCACAATACCTTGTCATTAGCAAGTGCTTAATTAACACTTTTCGTTCAGGGGGCATACATCTGCATGTCCCCAGTTTGTTGATAGCTAACAGAAAGGGAACAACGTCCTTTTAATATGTCAGTTAATACTGACCATGGTCTGAGTTTCTTTGTCTCTAAATGTTGAATTTGTTTACATGACTGTCAATCTCCAGTAAATGCTATTTCCACTATGCTCTAGCACCTTCCCTCCTCTGATTTTCCAATTTCAATGGGGCCCCCAATCCCTCTAGGAGTTCCTCTGTCCCCGATGAGCTAAGTGAGTCCAAGTCTCACATCCTGTCATTCTCCTTCCCAGCCACAAGTTGAAGCACAGTCCAGTTCCAGAAGAGTGGCTCTTAGAAAAACAGTTGAGACATCTTTTTTTTTTCAGAATCCCAAATCCTGTAAGATCCCTATATTATCCCTGGTACACATTTTCGGGAAGGCTGAGGCAGGAATGCCCTCCTTCAGTCCTTTGCCATCATTCCCACTCCAATCTTCATATCAACCTCCAATGCAAGCTGGGAATTTAAGTTTCAGTCCAAAATCTGTTACCTTCTGAACCAGACTTCATTTTCCCCCAAAAAACAAACTGCTTAGGCCAGATGTGGTTTTCAAAGGGTGCTTCCAGCTCTGACATTCTGTGTTCTAAGGGCCCTCCCAGCTCTGACATTTTGTGTACTAAAGTCTTTTTGTACACACATACTCACTCTTCTATAATTCACATATGTCCACAAACCCTTGTATGTGCTGGGGCAAAATTCTAGCTAAGGTTGCTCCTTGTAATGCTGTCTCATTCTCTATCAGACACATACAGAGATGAGCTGTCCATCCATCTGTCCATCCATCCCTTCATTCCTCCATCCTCCAGTTCCTAGGGAGTGAGTGGGTGGAGGGGGGGGAAGGTGGAAGGGGGCGGATGCCAGATTAATATAGTCCTGGCGGTTCCCAAAGGCCAGGGCCGAGCTAATGGTGCTGCTGATAGAACGCAGAAGTGTGAAAAGAATTTTAATAGATATGACAAGTCTAATAAGAATTTGTGTCTAGAAGGGACCTCCTTTGGGGCCGGAGGCTGACGAGGCAGTGACGGCTCAGATTTGTTTACTCACTGGCACTGGCCCTCTGCATCTCCTGCCAACTCCTGATTAATCTAATTTGAGGCGTTTATAGTCAGGGAAAGAGGGAGAGGCAGAGAGAGAGACACATTGAGAGACAACGAGACAGAGAGAAGGTTTGACTGAGGCCCCTAATGAGGAATGTCACAGTCCTGCCCTTCCTGTCCCTCTCCTGTCGTCCCTGTCAAGAGGGAGACACATCATGGGTCCAGGATTAGTTGTCCTTCAAGTTGGCCCAGGATTTGGAAAAGTCTATTGGTTGTCAGGTTCATCCAAGTGACTCCAGCTCAATCAGCATGAATCCAACAGCTCCTCTGGGCCCTCAGCTGGACCCAGAGGGTGCTGCCTGGGAGGGAAGAGAAGAATCAGTCAGAGTCTGGGTCCCTGTTCTATGGGAGTTCCCCATGAAACAAGCAGAGGAGAGTATGAAAAGATTCACTCATCCAAATAGTATTTCTTAGGCACAACTGTGTTCAGAACATGGTGCTAAGTACTGTATGAATTAGGGAGAAGTAGGTATGTGAGAGGAATGTGGAGGACATTTAGAGCGCAGGAAAGAAAGCCAGGTAGGGAGCGGCTTAGTCTGGGAAAGTTTCCCCAAGCAAGCGTCTTGAGTAGGACTCAAAGGATTGGCTTAGTGGAGAAGACAGGGGAGGGCAGGAGTTATTGTAGTTTCTCCTTTAGTTCCATCTGTGCCTTCCCTCAGGCCTTCATATGATCTTGACCAACTGGTTACTAGAAAGCTCTGATCCTTGCTCAGACTCAACATGTCCAAAACTGAACTCAGAATCACAATCACAGAACCTCAGAGGTGGAAGTGACCTCAGGGAGCATCTAGTTCTGACCAAGAATCTCTCTGCAACATACGGACTACTTGGTCATCCGGCCTCTGCTTGAAGACCCCCTTCAGGGAGGGGGAACCCACCACCTCTTGAGGCAGTGCATCCCACTTGGGGGCAGCTTAATTGTTAGGGAGAGTTTTCTAACAGCTCGCCTCAGTGTGCCTGTCTGTAGGTTCAACCTGGTTCTGCCCTCTGATGAGAAGAACAAATCAAATCCCTCTTGAATATGACAGTTTTTGAGTTCTTTAAGACAGCTTCCATGACCCCACCCTGCACCTTCCCAGTTACTTCCATCAATCCTCCTATGGCATAAATTCAAGACCTTGCATCATCCTACTTGTCTTCCTCAGGACACTCACTCTCAGACTTATCAAAGTCCTTCCTAAAACGTGGTGCCCAGAACTGACCATAATAGGTCCATATGTGACTTGACCAGGGCAAAGTATAGCTGAGACTCCTGGAAGCCATCCCTCTCTGAATACAGCCCAGGGCCACCCAAGATTTTTTTTTAACCTATTGACTCATAATGACCTTGAAGTCCTCTAAAATCCCCAGACCTTTTTCAGACAAACTACTGTCTAGTCATGTCTCCTCCATCTTGTAATTGTCAATAAATATCTTGAACCCAGAGTCAGGGCTTTTTATTTCTGCCTATCAAATTTTGTTCTGTTCAGTTCGACCCCAAATTCTAGCCTCTTAAGAACTTTGGGGATCTGATTCTCCTAGCCATTGTATTAGTTCTCCCTCCCAGCTTTGTTACAAATGCAAATTTGAAGAGCATGTGATCTATGCCTTTATCCAAGCCATTGGACACCACAGGGCAAGGACAGATCCTTGGGGCACTTCACTGGTGACACCATGCCTAGTTTCAGCAGAAGTATTAATGAGTATTCTGAACCCAGCCATTGAACCAGGTCCAAGTTTAGCTACTGTCATTTAGCCCCCATTGATCCATTTTCCCCCAACAATAACACAATGCTTAATCAAATACTTTGTTAAAATATCTACAGCATAACGTTGATTTACCAGTAACTCTGGCAAAAAGGAAATAAGGTTACTTTTGAGTGACCTGCTATGGATGAAACCATGCTGGCTCTCTGTGATTATTATTCCCATTGCTAAATATTCATTAAACATCTTTTTAGAAAGAATAGTTTCTTGAATTTTCCCAGGAATCAAAATCAAACTTACTGGTCTATTCTCTTTCCTTTTTGCCTATCTTCAGTCCTGTGTTAACCCACATATTCTCTTTGCTGTTGTTCATTGTTTCAGTCATATCTTACTCTTTGTGGGCTCATTTGGGGTTTTCTTGGCAAAGATACTGGGTGGTTTGCCATTTCCTTCTCCAGCTTACTTCACAGATGGGGAAACTGAGGCAAACAGGGTGAAGTGACTTGCCTAGGGTCACACAGCTAGTAAGTGTCTGAGGCTGGATTTGAACTCAGCAGACCTGGTGCTCTATCCACTGCATCACCTAGATGCCCCTATTGTCTATCGCTTCTTTAATCCTACAATTTTCTCTATATTGGGATTTGTTTGGTATGGAGATCTCTCAGATGAGAAAACTCCCTCTCCCAATGTAGGCCAGTACCTTCTCTCTAACTTTTAGTCTTAGAGAGATGCCTGGAGCACTGAGAGTCAAGTGACTTATTAAAGGTCATACAATCCTTATGTTTCAAAGGCATGATTTGAACCCAGATCTTCCTGGCTTGGAGGCTGGTGCTCTATTCAGAGCCTTTCCCTACATAGCTTTCATAAAACCATTTTTTGTCATCCTTAACCCTCTTCTCCAGCTGAAGCTTATTCTGACCTTTAGCTGTCCTGATACCATTTTATAGAACAGTGTTGTGCTTTTGTTTTCATCAGCAGTTACTTGCTTTTATGTCTATCTCTTTTTAAAATCTAATGTTGGTTGATAGATGTGCAACCACATCTATCTCTACATTGTTGCTGGGGGTTTTTTCTTCTTCATCACAATTGTTTCCTTTTTGTTTCTTCAGAATATCAGATCTTGACAATGACAATTTCTCATGCCTCCTCAGCCAACATCCCCCTATAAAATTTTGGTCCACCTGTTCGTGCTATCCTTCTGCTGAACCCTTTGAAATCTTCTCTTCCCAAAATCTAGGGTGCATGTCTGACTATGCCTAGCCTTTCTCTCCTCTATCACAGATTCTAGCAGGGAGTTATCACTCACCTCCAATGTTCTTGTCATTTCTATCTAAGCAACCAGTTTCTCCCTCTTGATGAGAATCAGATCAAGAATAGAATTTCTCCTTGTTGGTTCTTCCACATTTGGAAGGATGAAATGATCATTATTAAGACAAGTTGAGAAGTTGTTCACTGTTCTACTTTTGCCTAAGCTTAGCAGATGTCTGGATCATAGAAGTCACTCATCTTTATCATTTCATGCCTCTGTACCAGGCTTGTGATCTGTTTCCCAAACTCCTCATCTATTTTCTCTTTCTGTCTTGACAGTCTATAGTAGGCTCCAATGATAAAACCACTCTTCTTTGTTACCCCTTTGATCTTTAAATAAATGCTTCCCAACATGCCTCACCATTCTGATTCCTGGATTTCCTCACATAGTGTACTTTTTGAACATGTAATGCTACCTCATTGCCTCCTCCCTACCCCCTACCTGTCCTCTTACCTTTGAGTAAGGTATATCCTCCTTCAAGAGCCACATTCCAGTCCCTGGTCTCATAATGTGTTGTAACTATGAGACTTAGTCTGGGAACTCCTTGAGAGTGGGGATTGTCTTTTGCCTGTCTTTGTACCCCCAGCACTAAGCATAGTGCCTGGCATACTGTAGGCACTTAATAAATTCTAATTGACTGACTGCAGTCAAACTTGCCTCCTTGCATCAGGACTCATAGTTAGTGTTACCGATTCTCTATACTTTGTGTGTAGACATTCAAAGTCTCGGGGTTTAATGACTCCTTTTTTGGATTTCCATCTCCTATGAATATCTGGGTATTTTAAAAGATGAGAGGTAGCTTGGTACAATGCAAAGAATAGTAAATCTAGACCTGGATTCAAATGCTGACTCCTGTCACCTGTGTGACCTTGAGCAAATCACTTAACCTCTGTTGACCTCCAGTTCTCATCTGTAAAATGTGGGGATTGAACTAGACGGCTCTAGAGCAACAACACCATGCTCATCCCTTTCTCTGGACTTTTACTTACATAGTACGCTGTTTCTGGAGTGCCTGTCATCCTCCCCTAAAGCTATCCAAGTCCCACCCATCCTTCAAAGCCCTTCTCAGAAGAGTTCTTTCCACCAGTGGTCTCACAACCACCCCAGCCACAAAGATCTCTCCTTGTGCATTTCTATATCTCCCAGTTGCCCCTTTGTATAGTCTGCCTTAAGAGTTTGTTGTATCATTATTTAACTTTCCATGTGGGTGTATCTTGTCTCCTCTATCAAACTGTAAAGTTCTTGAGGGCACAGACCCTATTATGGGTTGTTGGGCTTTGGGTTTTTTTTGCATTCCCCATCTTGCTTAGCACTGTGTTAAGCATGGATTATGGGTTCAATAAGCTTTTGATGGACAGAGGACTGTAGGAGTAGATGGATGAATGGATGGATGGATGGATGGATGGATGGATGGATGGATGGATGGATTGACAAACGGATAAATGGACAGATGGATGGATGAACAGATGGACAGACAGATGGATTGAATGATGGATGGACAGATGGTCAGATGGTTGAATGCTTGGATGGATAGATGGTTGATTGGAGTACAGAATCATACAGAATCTCCTCCATGCCATATTCAACAGTTAGTTACTCAACCTTGACTGCAAGGCCTCTAGTGCAAAAGAACTACTGCCTCCTGAGGTAGCCTACTCCTCTTTTGGACAGTTTCTATTATTAGGACCTTTTCCCTGACATCAAGCCTTAATCTACCTCTCTGCCAGTTCTATCCATTATTCCGGGTTTTGCCTCCAGAGGCCAAGCAGAGCAAGTCTAAATCCTTATCCATGTATTAGCCTTTCAAATATTACATGACATCTGTTATGTGCCATAGGTAGATTGGCAGATGGACTGCTGGATGGATGGAGAAAGGGAGAAAGGGAGGGAGGCAGGGAGGAAGGGAGGGAGAAAGGGATGGATGGATGGAGAAATAGATAGATAGATGGAGATATGGAGGGAGAGGTTGGATAGACTGGAAAATGGAAGACTAGATGAATAGAAGGATAGAGATATAAGATTAGAATATCAGTTGCTAAATGTGTCTCTCTCCCTTTTTCTTCTTAGGTGCCGTCGACTATCTGGCAAAGAACGTGAGCCTTTCCACACAACGTCGGATGAAATTGGGCGAGCACTCAGCTGTGCTGGGGCTCCTGCCTGTGGAAACAGGTCAAGCATACTAAAGCCCTAGGGCCCCCTAACCCAGGCCCTTGACTCCTGCATCCCTGCTAGCCCTGCCAGCCTATCCTACACTCATCCCTGTGCCTCTCTGACCCCAAGTCCCAGACCATCCCCCTAGACCCACTGATGCATCCTCTGAGGAAGTGGGACCAGTAAGCTCCAGTCTCTTCCCATGCCACCACTCTCTGGCAAAAATCTATGACCATAGACTATGAGGGGACACAATTACAGTCCCTCTGCCAGCATCCCCTTCTGCCTCCCGATCCCAATCCTGAGCCCAGCTGGATTACTGGACTGATTTAATCCCCTGCTCCCACACTCAACCTTGCTTTAAGCAATGGGTAAAACCCAAGCTGAATTATGACTTCTGTAAGATTTCTCTCTCACTCAAGGCCCTTCCCTTACTTCAAATGTACAGACTTTATAAATGCTTCCCATCACAGAGGGTGCAGCAGGCAAGACAGTTCCAAAGGGACAGGATCCTGGAGCTCTTAGTGTGAAGGAAAGAGCATTAGATTTGGAGTCAGAGCCCCTGGGTTCAAATCCCAACACTGCCACTTACGATCTATGTGACTTTGGTCAAGTTAGTTCTACTCTCTGGGTCTCAGTTTCATCATCTGGAAAGTAAAGAACCAAGACCAGATGGCCTCTAAGACCCTCTTCTAGCTCCAATTCCCATGAACCTTTGGACCCCCACAGAAGAGTAAGGGGGTAACAAGCTAACTGTCCCCTAGGTGGCACCCTGCCATAGAGATAATGCCAATTGACCAGGAAGGCCTTGGGAATGAAGAGAGAGGGCACTCAACTGGACATGCTGTTCTCTGTTTCCCAAGCTGACGACCTATGTGGATGAGCATGACCAAAACCCAAACCCTTTAACCTTTCCAGCCATAGGACCTTGGCAGAGAGGTTAGGATGGGCTGATGGTATGGAGCTGCCCAGTTCAGGAAGGAGACCTGGGCTGGTTATGGCTAATATGGGATGTTGGGGCATGCCCTATGCAGGGACAGGTGGTAGGGAGGCCAAGGAGAGACTTTGAGCCTAAAGGAAATACCTTTTGGAAACTTCAGTGGGCTTGCATCACTAGCACTCAGTCCCACGGGGGCAGATGAGGCAAGTTCTAACATACAGAGACTATTCAGAAGTTGAAAGGCACTTAGGAGAGCAGGACTTATACTCAAGTCACCGGGTACTTGAGTACCCAGAAGCTCTAAGTGAGAAGGTAAGGGCTCTGGCTTGAAGCTCTGAGTTCCCAGCTCTGTCCTCCCAAAGCTGGTTTGCTGATTTCTATGGGACCTTATCAGGAACAAAGAACACTTCAGCACCTCCAGCAAAGGGGGACCCTGCTTTCTTCAGGCCAAGCTTGACCTGATCATTCAAGGTTAATTGACCACCAAAATACAGGAGGCCGAGAAGGGAACTTGGGATTTTAGACATCTTCCCTCTTCTGGGGGTGGGGCAGGGAAGCAGGGAGAGAGATTGCACATGAGAAAATCCTAAGATCTTTGTCACTCCTGAATCTGCCTCATGAATCCAGTGGGCTTAGCTGAGGGCACACCTATAGCTGAAACCCTGGTCCTCAGCAGACTTCACCAATCCCATTTTTGGCAGAAGCCCCCACTTTTGCCCATAAAGATCCCTCCTTTTGCCAGTCAAGAGTTGCCTTGCCTGTGGAGTTTGCCCTCCTGGGGCAGCTTAACAGGCATGAATGGGGGCTCTGACATGATTAAAGATCCCGATGAAAGGGATTTTAAAAACTAACTCCTCAGCACCCATGCCAAGCCCTTTCCTTTCCTGGGCTCTTTGTTGAATGAGTGGTGGCTGCCCACTCCCTGAGGAAATCTGGTCCTTGGTTTCTCTCAGCATTTCAGTGGGAAGAGGATGGAGTCCCTACCCAACCCTGAAGCAGCAATTTCCAATATGAAGAAGGTGGGGAGCCTAGAGGTCCACCATTCAAACATAGGAGCATCTCTGCCCAGTGCACCCCTCGAGTCCATTCCTCAGGTTCAACATAGCCAGAGCTGTGGTTTGAGACCATCAGACCTAGATTGAAGCAAGGTTAGGATCAGTGACATAGGATTCTCCTGGCCTCCAAGAACGAGGGAGAAGTTGGCCTTCTCCTACCTTCTAGGGTCTTCTAAAAGTTCTCCCCAGACCCTGTTCCTTTGAAAGTTATAACCTTTGGGGAGAAAGTTTCAGGCTCCTGGCTTCCATTGGATCTTTCTGGCATCATCACCAGTTGCATTACCATTTGTAGTTTTCATCTTTTCCACTCACCATTTTCTACTATCATAATCTTCACTGTGGCATAGCAGACTTGGACTTAGAAAGCTGAGCTCCAGCTGTTCTGTGCTGTGTGACCTGGAGCAAGTCACTCATCCTTTCTGAGACTGAGGCTCAGAGACACTGAACTGCTCTGGGGCTCAGTTTCTTTATCTGTAGAAGGAGAGGGTTGGACTGAATGACCCCTAAGGTCCCTTCCAGCTCTCAATCAGATCCTATGATCCCCATCTGCAAAATGGGGATAATAATACTGGTTCTACCTACCTCACAGGGATGTTGTGAGGAAAGTGCTTTGCAAATCCTAAAGCACCATAGACATAGAAATTATTCTGTCATCATTTTTATCATCATGTCATCTTCATTATCAAGCTGCCTGGAGGCCCCATCATAACACCCAGAAGGACTGGGCTCAAGTTGTCTTGTCTCAGTCTTGGGTAACCATCAGGATGATGAGAAGCTTCCCGGGCACCTCTTCTCTGGACTCCTTTCTCTTCCTCCTTGTTAAGTAAGAAGTTCCCAGGGAGAATGGCCATAAGACCAAGAGATCCTGCTGAAACATGGGCCCCAGGCCTTCCTGGGAAGTTGGAGGAAAGATAGGAAGAGTACTCCTATGGGTATTTCCACCATGATGAACAGGAACTGGCTTCCTAACTTCAGACTTGGAGCCTGAGCTAGGAGCATCACCAGGATGGCTGGATACAGTCAGACAGATCACTCCATTGAGGGTCAGATATCACAGCAAGACTCTAGGCCTGGAAGACACCCAGCCCTTGACATCCCCAGTGATGTCTTTTTCCTTCAAACCCTGGGGAGAAGAAGATGCCACATCTTTCCTTGGTGACCTACTCCAGGATTTAATAATTGTCACAACCAGAAGGTCCTTCCTTTGGCCTAACTTTGCCTTCAAAGAGATTTTCTGAACAGCATTCCTTCAGCTGGAGGTTGTATTCTACTGATGGCATGGTTATGTTTACAGAGACCACTTCTGACCCATTCATTTGTGTGTTTTCTCAGAAATGTGGTAACCTGAAGCTTCTCCAGCTCCAGCCTTCAAGAGATAACATTCCATGACCAGGACCAATTCACTTCCCCGCAAAACCTCTTCCTCAAACCTTAAATCAGAATGCCCAATACCTACAGCATCTCCAGATCCCAGATAAGCCATTTCTCAGCAAACTCAACTCCCTCAGAGCTCCCCAAATCTATTCTCATGGGGACGAAAGACATATCCCCATAGGCTCTTTCCTTTTGATTCCCATCTGGTTTTTCACCATGCCCTGTATATGTGTGTATGCTTGGAAGGGGGAAGAGGAATTGGGGATCCCTTTTATGTAAAGCAGCCCCTCATATTAGCGGGCGGCCTTCTCACCAGAGAGGATGAGAAGCAAGAGGTCTCAAAAGATCTGAGGCGAGCTGTCAAGCAGGTTCATTGAAGTCTTATGAAGGCATGCATTCCAGGTGGTTTGGAAAACCCCAAAGGCCACCCTCTCCAACTACCATTGTAAATAGAGTCCGTAGAGAAATAAGAAACTATCCCTGTCTGATCACAACTAGCTATTTACCCCTCCTCTGAGGTTAACCCTCTGAGACTCATTGTACATTAGCTCGAAACTTGGTGATGTGCTGTTTGTTTATAGGAAGTTTTTTGTTGTTTTGTTTTGGTTTTGGTTTTGATACTGAAAAGACAACCCTCCCCCTCCCCACCCCATCCCACTGTGAGTGACGTTCTAGTACCACGGGGCCACCTGTAGAGATCTGCATATTGTGTGTTTGAAAAGATACAGTCCAGGATCCATTGGGATTATATTGTCTTCATCCTGTTTCCTTCCTCTGATTTTCCTTCCTTGCTACCATAAAGAAAGAGACATTCATGTGTGAAGAACTGAGAACCAGGCACTGTTTGCTTGCTTTAAAAAAAATGCCCATTTGTTATTCCTATGTTCTCCTCTTCCCTCACCAAAGGAGCATTGTGGGGCCGGAGGAAATGGGGAGACAGAGGTGGGTTCAGAGAGGGGGGACAAGAGAGAAAAAAATGTGGAGAGATTTGCCCAGAAGAAGAAATGAGGTCAGTTTGGGGCTCAGTGGTGAGGTCTGGGGTTGGGACAGGATCTGGACGGCAGACACCCAGTCTGACTTCAGCGGCAGAAGCCAATCTCATTTAGGACCAAATGGGCCACATGTTTTGACCTTTGAAAGCCTCTTGTGCCACCAAGAATCCCAAGTATCATGTTTTTACAACTCAAGGACACTCTCTGGGCCTTCTCTTTCTAGATGATGCTCTCTCTTACCCCCACATTTGGACATTCCAGGGAGCAGATATATCTGCTCTCTGCCCACCTTTAGGGGTGCCAACCCAAGACCAAACTGAGGGGGAGGGGAACTCTAGCCACCTCCTTTAAACAGCGGCACCTCGCTGCTCAGAGACATTTGTGTATTTAATGCTTCTAATACAGCCACCTCCCCTACCTGGGCCATGTCTGCTAGTGATAGAGAACATTCCTTCTTGCTAGTATCTGCGAATTCATTTGCTTCTGTGTTTGAGACATAACCATTTCCCTACATGTGAGAGCGAGTACATGTGTGCACGTGTGCGCAGGAGGCGTACAGAAAGTGTGTTGGGGCGAGTGTGTGTTTAAATATAATCGCACCATAATTTATTCAGCTATATGGAGTAGTAGACTAGTAAGAGAAGCTGCCGGTTGCTTTCCTACCTGCTGCCTGTAGGTGTTTCCCTGTAACTCAGGCATAACTGTTATACATTAAAAAAAAAAATAAATTAAAAGCCACTTTGAAGGCTCGGTGTATTTAATGTGGTCCCTGAACTATGGCTGCAAAAAAAAAAATAGTGTCCCCATGGCACTGACCTAATTAAAAGGACCCTGCCACAGAGAGGAAGAGATCATTGGCACAGTGTTAGCATCAGAGATGGGGTGGCAACCCCCAACCTGACTCACCGAAACCGACCTTGCTGTCCCTAAAAATCAGCTCCTCTGCTTCCCCTCGTGCTTGCATAACCAAGAGAGGACAGACTCTGCTTAAATTCAGCAGTCCACTATGTGTCAGGCAGCGGGCTGGGTGCTAGTCAAAAAGTCAACAGGCATTTATTACAGCACTTACTCTGCGTATAGTGCTGTGCTGAGCTCTGGAAATACAAATACAAATAGAAAAAAAAAGTTCCTGCCCTCAAGGAGCTTACACTCTAATGGGGGAGGTCAACACATAAAAAGGAACTGAAAGATTCTAAGTATAACAAACCCACCCCACCCT